CCGCTCTGCCACGGCCGCTCCACGCGGGCCTCAGGCGAGTGAGGGCAGATGACGGTGCCACCCCATCTCGCAGAGTGGGGGGCCTTGGGAAGCCTTCGCCCAGGAAACTGTCGGTGCTGCGAGACAAGCTGGATGTAAATCCCAGCTCTCTCCCCGCCTTCCTTAGCCCGTTAAGCCAACCTCCATCTCTTATCCGTCTGACCCTCTGCCTGTTTGTGGCCTGGAGGCCGGATTGTGATGCTCACGTGTGAGCCAATGAGATAATCTGCTGGGGGGCTTAGGACCAGGCTTAGGAAGAAATTAGAAAAATATTTCTTTCTTCCAGGACAGCACAAAACTAGAACTGGTCCCAGCCCACTTGAACAGGAGGAGGAAGAGAAGGTCACTGTTGGCTTCCAGGAGTCTCTGTTGCCTCAGAAGCTTAACGGATGGCCAGACATGAGTTACGGGGAGGCCAGGGTGGCTAGCGGAGCCCGAAGACCCAGGGCCTTTCTGAACTGTTTCAGGAGTAGGAAGAATGATGGGCTAAGTGTGTTCCAAATGAGTATTTTGGGGAGGGTGAGGCAATGTGTCTTTTACTACAGTAATTTTTTCTCATTTAAACATCACTGTATTTTTTATCACCCTTTGTATGCGTCTGGCCCCGGGGCTACCAGGGGCAAATAGTCACCTCCTCTGGGTCCCCAGGTAAAGACTCCAGTGGGGCTGCTTATCTTCGTCCAGCCAGATGCCCAGAGCTTAGGATGCCTGCCAGGCGAGAGGACAGGAAGCTTCCCGATCCCCAGGGAGGAGGCTCTTGGGTAACTATTAAACAGCAGGAACGAACCCTGCACCCTTTTGGGCCATCCGCTTCGCTTCCAGTCACAAGTCTGAAATCAAGGTGCCAGCAGGGGCGGCTCATCTCAGGAAGACCCCGTTCTGGGACTCTGTTCGCTTAGGCACGTGGAAGGCTGGAGTCTGGCAGGCCTCACCTCCCGCTTCCTCCTGATCCTCCAGTGTCACCAGGCGACTTAGAGGGTTAAACCTGAACGGCTCACAGTGGACTGCTGAGTTCAGGCAGTGTAGGCGACAGAGACCCACAGACAGGAGCCGACCCACGTCCCTTCTTGGCTGTGCAGTTTCACGACAGCAGGAACTGGTAGGTGACCAAGGCAAGCGGTTCATCTCCGTATAGATCCAAGTCTCTATTTTGTTTGGCTAAAAATATTTTTACTATAGGTACATGTTTGAGACATATGAAATTTGCATTCACTTTGGGGAACTGGTACATATATACCACATCTTGGAGGGTTTCTAGCCAAATCTACCATGAGGGCTGTATGTATTACAGAAGGCCCAAGTCTGAGTTAAGGTGGGAAACCCACCCTCTCCATTTTATTGGCCATGACAGACATCACCAATCAATCACAGACTCAACCCTAAGATCACAGCCAGAAAGCAGAGCAAAGACAGGAATCCAAGATGGTATAATGGTATAATAGACTGACTTTGTTTCTTTTTTTCTTTCTTTCTCTTTGTTCAGTACTGGCAATTGAACTCAAGGACTTCACATTGAATGTCATCTGCAGCTTGTTTAAAATTTTTTATTTTTCATTTCATTTTCTCATTTATTTGGTGTTTTGAGATAAGGTCTCGCTATATACTTTAGGCTGCTCTTAAACTCACTATGTAGCCCAGGCGGGCCTCCATCTAGAAATCCTCCTGTCTCAGCCTCCTGAGGGCTAGGATTATCAGCATATAGCATCATGCCTGGCTTTTAGGCAGCCTTTGTCAATTCTTATTCTCTATTTCTCACCTAAATCTTTCCCTGCTGCTGTGCTTTGTCATGTGGACAGCCACGTGTGAGTCCCAGGAGTTAGAGTGGCTCTTGTTATCTTTGTGTGACCTGCCCCTCTGCCTGGACAGCCTTCCTTCCTGCCTGTGCCTGATCACCACTTCTCTTAGGGCCACAGCTTGTCTTTCACAGCACCACGGGTTCATCCTGACAAGCTTAGGGCCTGGACAGCTCCTGAGACTTCCCTTCCTGCCTTCCTTGATGTACACCTCAGGTCACCGTGTTCCCCGGTGTTCCCCACGGTGGGAGGGGCACCTGCTGCCCTGCCTCCTGCCCTACCCCTGCAGCCCGTTATGGTATTGAAGTAATTAGGTAATTACCTCCTTCCTAGGGTCATTCTAAACATTTCAAGATAAGCAGCAAAGCAACAATAAAGAGGTTTTGTTTTTGTTTTCTTATACAAAGCATCATTTTCTTAAGATGAATTTCTGGGAGTGAGAGAATTCATTGTTGGGTTTGGGGAGGTGGATAAAGAAAATGGCAGGCTGAGGCAGGAGGACTGCAAGTTCAAGCCCAGCCTTGGCAATCTAGCAAGAACACGGCTCAGGAAAAAAAAAAAAAAAAAAAATTAGAAGGGACGGGGGTGGTGGTGGGGTGCAGCTCAGTGTGAATCCTCACTACTGAAAATGGCAGACTGGGTACCATCCACTGAACCCTGGCACGCGCGGGGCGAGGGAACCCCGCTCTCCCTCCTCCAGAGCCCCGGAACAGCTGCGTGGTGTGAAAGCTGTGCCCGGATCTGTGAATGCGGCCTTGGTCAGACAGGGTCTGGAGAATAATTAAGGATCTCAAGTGAGACCGTGCTGGGCTCCATGACTGCTGTGTCCCCCAAAAGCCTACGTCAAGGGCTCTGTCCTTGGCGGGGGCGAGGGGGGCAACTTTCGGGGCGTGGCCTGGGTGGTAGTCGAGGGGCGTGGCCTCAGGGCCTGGGTTCTGTCTCCTCCCCCTCCGTCCTGCCCTGGCCTCCAGGGAAGTGGTTTGTTTGTCGGCTGGGCCAGCCCATACCAACACAGGCCCTAAAATGAGAAAGTCATGGACTTGGCCTCTGACCCAGAGCTAAAAGGAACCTTTTCCTTTTGAAGACGGTTCTCTCAAGTGCTGTGTCCCAGTGACAGAGGAAGCCACTCAGGTGCAGGGGCCAGCGAGGCCCAGAGAGGTTGATGGAGCCTGAGCCTGAGGGGAAAGCACAACCTGACAGGGGTGGAGGCAGCCACTCTCAATCCTGGGGAGATGAATTAGAAACTGCACAAAGAGACTCAAGTGGATGAGATACGCCGGGCATGATGGTGCACACCTGTACGCATCCTGCAAGGCTGAGGCAGGAGGATCCCAACTGCGAGCCCAGCTGGACAACTTAGTGACAACCTGTCTCAAATGAGCAAAGGAAACTAAAGGAAGGCCTGGGATGTAGCTCAGTGTGAAAGTCTTGGTTTTAATCTTCAGTACTGAAAAATAAGGCAATATTTCCATAACCACGATGTAAGAAAGGGTATCTTAAACAAGCAGAGCCTGTAGCATTTACTGCATTAATTATAAAATCTCTGTACATCAAAGGAAGGCTCCCATCAACAGGCACACAGACGGCTGGGGGCCAGAAGAAAACTGCAAAGTCCCTATCCAGGATTTACAAAAATTCTGCAAATCCCTGCAAAAGATCAGTTCTTGACTCCGACGGCAAAATGGGCAAAGAAACGAAGAGGGAATTTCCAAAGAGGCAGAAGCTGTAATGTAGCAGAAGACTCTCGAGCTCACGGACAAATATGCGGGCCCCTGCATGGTCCTCGAGGTGGCTGACGACAGATGTGGGCGACACAGCCAGGGCCCGGGAGGCCCAGGAGAAGCCAGAGGCCCGGGCCCCACACCAGGGCACGTTTTCCCCAGCCGGTCGGAGAGCATGTGCCTCGAAGACCCACAGGCTGCAGTCTCCACGTCCGGTCCTTCTGATGGGACTGCATTTGGGTCTGGAGCCTTGGAGAGGGAAATTGAGGTCCCGGGAGGGGCCCTCGTCTGACGGGAGGGTCGTCCGCGTAAGCAGAGGACACACAGATGCTGCCCGTGAGAGGAGCCCAGGAAGTCCAGGCCTGGCCTCCAAACTGAGGGCAAAGAAAGGTCTGGCGTGTACACCCCCAGCCCATGGTGTTTTAGTATGGCTGCTAGCAACGTGCCCGGTAACTTGGTAAGCTTGTCTTGTTTACTTTACTCCATGCTGAGGCAAAATACCCGAAACCCACAAGTTAAAGGAGAAAGGTTGACTTGGGCTTACACTTTGCAGAGG